CTGTGGCCCATCCCTAGGAAAGAAATAAGGTTCAAACCAAGGCATTGATGGTTGAGGATGAAGGTGAGGCATCAGTGTGAGAGAAATTAAGGGGATGAGCTCTAAAATTTTTAGAGACCAACTGGTTGTTAGAAGTGAGAGGGAAGGGAATGTTTAGGATGACTCTCAGGTTTCTGACCTAGATGGCAGGCCATTTACCAAGAGAGGAAACACCACCAGAAGAGTAAGTTTGGATGGAAAGACACTGATCCCATTGTTGGCATCACTCATTTACATGAAAAAAGACACTTGGATATAAGATTCTGGAATTTAGGAGAGATAGCGGAGCTTCCCTTATCAATTTTGGTATTATCTTTGAGTCTTCTTATAATCATCTGCTTTCTACATTGACTTTTGTAGCATCTCTCCAGGAATTGCATGTTATTTCTCCTTTATAAGGCATCAGATGATGGTGATTTCGAGGGCCCTTAAATGAAGTATAAATTGTAAGAGAACGTGATTGGAAAATGGATAAGAAGGTATGCTCCTCTCTCAACCCTGGCAAACGGGCAGTAATGAGGATCAACAAAGCCATTGCCACAGTGCTTTACTCTGAGAAAGGCACCTCATGTCCCCACCAATACCACTGTGTAATGGAATATTCTTCTGTTCTGCATGCCATGTAGAATTTAGACCTTGGACTCATCATTGTTAAGTTTATTTCTTTCAGTCTCATTATGAACCAAATCATTCAGGTGTTTGATAGAAAAGTAGTCAGAAGTCCCCATATTAAGGCTGTATTGCTCCTAAATAACCTGTTAAAAAGATATGTTGATTCTAATTCTCCTCTTTCCTACCTCTCATATGTTTGTGTATAATAATCCTGAAGGCAGAATGAAGGGGAAAACATGACACCTTTAACTTATCACAGTTAAATATATGGAATAAATACTCGACTTCAGAGTTGAGTATTAAAACAAAGCAACACTATTAGAATTAAGGAATACAGGTACTAATGAAATATTGCTTAACATGAATCCAAAAAATATAAAATAGAATGTATGCATTCACTAAAAATGTGAATTAGTTAACTCCTTTTTTCTTTTTTTTTCAGATAAAATATTGTAACCTTTATAAAAGCTTTTGCTTTTAGTGACTAGTTTCCATTAATTACATAAGGATTTTCTAGGCAACTTGAATCAGGAAAATTTTTGTCTTGATCTCCAAATGGTATTTCCTCCAGACTTCAGAATAATTTATATTCACCCCATGGATATGTCATCAATCTGTGAAGTGTGAATGGACACTATTCTTTCTTGTACTTGACCAAATGTTTCATTTCCTGAAAATTAAGTTGCTTAAATGCAACGAACAGATGGCCAGAGAGTCCAGGAGTAGATTACTCTGCCATGAAATTTATTATCTGAGTTCCTGAGGCAGGCCTGAGAAGTTAGCACAATTCCTTCTGAACACTAGTGTGCCATAGTGTTGTGGTCATCAAGCCACTTTTCAGTTAATTCAGTTACCTTGGACATTAGAAGGAAAAGTTGAAAAGCTATTTCATATTTTATATAGAAGAGTAAAATTGTGAACAAGTCACATGGACTGCTTGGGTTGAAGCTTATCTTAAAGTTACCCTTAAGGAATTAAAAAGGTAATATGAATTATAATAGAAAATAAGGCCTTGAATTTTTTTTTATTTCCAGTCTCCAAATATTATCTTCTCTAGGGTAAAGAAGTATTCATCAGTATAGTATGGAGAATATGGATAAATAAGGCATGATTCTTTCTATTCTCTTTTCTTTTGTTACTGTCAAATACAAAAACAAGTTTGGTCATTTGGGTCAATGCAAAAAATACAGCTCATGAGTAAGCATCTGTGATGGCCTTGTCTCAACTACACATGATAAACTTTAAAAATGTTAACTTGTTATATATCAGCTCTGCAGGGAAAAAAAAAGTCATTTTTCTCTTGGAAAAATTTTTCAACTACCACTCAATGTATTCTTTAGCAAACCTAGAAAGCATAAAGGTTTTTATAAAAGAGCAAGGGCCACGTGCAACAAACATATTAGTCTAAACTTTTCTAAAACATCTTTTTACCAGTTGTGAATACATGACTTTTAGTTCAGTGCTTTTACTGAATTTTTTATAAATCTATATACCTAACTATATTCAAAGTCCCTTATTAAAATAGCAAACTTTCCCCTTATCCTTTCCTTTCATAAAGATGTTAGTAGGGGGACATTTTAGAGTGCTTCAGAGTTTACAGTGAACATGGCACAAGATAGTTGACAGTGAATAATCTCATTAATCTGTTCCATACTTTTGGCCTTGAACATTCTGGGAATACACCAAATAGATAAACCCATTTAAGTCCTCGCCTCTATATAGGGGCTCCTTAAGTCATGTTGTAGAATAGGGAATAGGAAAAAAGAAATACTGACACAGGACGTTAGTACTTTTAAGACTTCCCTTACGTAGAGGAATGCCAGTAGAAGCACATGAGAATCAACATTGCATATATATTTGGATTAATTTAGGTAGGAGAGCTTCCTGGCCATCTCCTAAGTCCCTCTTCTTCCCCACCCTTCATAGCCCAAGACAGGGTGCAGAAGCAGCACCACTTCTGTTCTCCCCTGCTCTTCCTGAGCCTCCTTTTCATTGATCTTCTTCACACTCCAGTTTTTCCTGGGTCTACATGGGAGACCCCTTGCCTTGCTACCTTCTTTTGCCTATCTCCTGCTTTCTATTCATTGTTCCTGCCCCCCACTTAGTCAATAAGGCCTTGGTCATTTAAGAAAGCCAAACTCAGGGCACCTGGGTGGCTCAGTCGGTTAAGTGTCTGACTTCTGCTCAAGTCATGATCTCGGGATCCTTGGATCGAGCCCCATGTCAGGCTCCCAGCTCAGCGGGAAGTCTGCTTCTGCCTCTCCCTCTGCCTCTCCCCTGCTTGTGCTCTCTCTCTCTCTCTCTCTCAAATGAATAAATAAAATATTAAAAAAAGAAAGAAAGAAAGCCAAATCTCCAGAACACTGCTTAAATGCTTAAAGTTAGAGTAAATAGAAAAAAGAATCAGTTCAGAAGATACTCAAAGAGGAAGGTACACTTAGCACATTTCACAGTGGACTTGTCGCAGGAGAATCATAACTCAGGCAGGACTCTCATTTCATTCTTAAATCCTTTCCTGTCATCATTGATTTAAAAGAGGACAGCTGAAATGCCTGGATACCCCAGGGGCTGGTGGTCTTCCTACTCGGTGTGGCTCCTGGATCCGGGAAGGGGATTCAAGACCATGTGACAGCCTGGGCACGGGTTCAGGTATGAGCAGTGCTATTACTGGTACTCCATACTGCATATCAAACGGACTCACAGAGTCCTTCATTAGCATCTCCCACCTAATGATCTGGTAGCCCCACGGTGGTCAAAGCCCAGCAGCTGTCCGGTCTTATTTGTAGCCAGTCAGGACAAATAAAGTAGTAGTTTTGTTCATCTCACTCTCTCTCCATGTGCTTCAGCTCTGAAGCTAGAGGCTTAGTTTATCCCAAAGTAGCCAGTTTTGACCAGTTAACAGTGTGACAGTTTCAAGAACAGTGACTCCAGCCCTCTGGAAGTGAAAGGCTTTGGGGTAGAGGTGCAGACATCTGCTCAGACCACATTCAGAAACTTGCTCTTCCCTGACCACATTAACGGTACAGGATCGGGCACCAAGGCACCAAAATCAAAAAGACCCGTCAGGTGTCTGAGGCAGAGATCAACATGGCCCAAGTATGGGCAGGGTGTCCTGAGAGACGTGTTATCATCACGGGAGCTTTTGCCAGGCTCCGTATCCAGTTCACGCCAGACTCTCCTTGTCCGTGGGCAGAGGGAAGACGACAACCATTCAGACTCACCTGCAATCCCTTCTGCTGCTCACCAGCCAGTATCCATCTGTGAGGTCTAAATAGCGAGCCGTCTCAGGTTTCAAGAAGTTTGTGAAAATTTCATTTTATGTGTACTTTTATCCCTGAAGGAGAATTTTTTTTCTAAAATCGTTTATTTATTTATTTATTTATTTTGGTCTGTTCAGCTGTTAGTACATTTTAGTTAGTCCCTGATTTTTTCTTTAGGTAGTTGTGTTCATGATGATTTTTTTTTTTCTGTTTCTCACTGAAATGTAAGTGGATGTATAATAGTTCTTTTAATGTTAGGATTTTTTGTTGTTGTGCCCAGAAGAAAAATAAAATAAAGGTCAGATGATTGAAGGCTTTGTTGTTGACCCCACAGCAACTTTCAGGCTGAAGCATCCTCACAAGGGTCCATGTAATGTTAAGAGTCATTTTACTTGACATATGTGACAATTAACATGTCAAGCCAAATGCATCCTCTCATTAGCCATTGCTTTATTGTGGAAATATTTATTGAGTGCTTGAGAACCACGCAGGACTACCACGTGGCATGGGGTACTGAAAAAACATGGGCTCAATAATTTTTTTTTTTTTTTTTTGCTGTTTTCCTGGCAATCTTCATTCCGTGTAGGAGCGTTGGTAGCAACTACTGCAGCTTCTCATAGCAGAGCAATTCCGAAAGGTTTTGACTCATGTGCTTCCTCAGTGCCATCCGATGCGTTGCAAGTACAGATTTCATCTTGTCTACATTAACTTTCTATCAAGTGTGTGGAGATGGCCTAGTATGCTTATTTAGGGTGGTATGCTTAATATTGGAGATGATCCTGAGAAATTACAGATTTCTCAATATGGCATTCTAATTAAAACCTAATTAGCAATTCACTGTGCTGGAACTTAGGTTTTTCAGCATGGAAAAAAATAATTTCACTCTGCATAGAAAGTAAAGATATATTTTTTGGAGACATTGTAATTTCAAAAATATAAGGCAGCACATGTGGAATTTAAGAAATGTTAAAAATCTGAAGTGTGGGTTTCTTCATAGCTTTAAGCTTGAACAGTTTTATATAATCAGCCAGCTTGCCAAACAGTATCAAAAAACTCATTTTCTTCAAGTGCTTTATTTATCTTTAATAGAACCTTCATCACCCTGGTGTTGTAAATTTGGAGTGTATGTTTGAGACGCCTGAAAGAGTGTTTGTTGTTATGGAAAAACTCCATGGAGACATGCTGGAGATGATCTTGTCAAGTGAAAAGGGCAGGTTGCCAGAGCACATAACGAAGTTTTTAATTACTCAGGTAAGAAATCAATTAGAGACAGAAAAAAAAAAAAGATAATATTCAATATCAAATGTTATCACTGTTTTACTGCAGCTTCCTAGCCTTGTTTAGTCCCTGAGTCCCAAGTCTGACTTACACTCGGAAAGGTGGTGAGGGCGTGTTGTATTATTTCGTTTCTATCTGTGGTCTCCAGAGTCCAGCATACCAAGTGAGTCATGCGTTTGTGGGCCCATGTATTAAAACTACTCATGAAACTTTCAGTTGCACGGTGACTGAGTCCTGGTTCTTTGAAACTATTCAAGAATGGGTCTCCCTGGAAGATATTACTGACATCTGTTATCTACACCTGTCTTGGTTGCTGTATCAATACCATAATATGCTACTCTTTCTGCTGACGTTTCCTTAGAAACCTGCCCTGTGAATTGAGCTCATTTCAGTGTCTTGGTGTAAAGAGGCTTAACTGTTCATTGTGGGTTTTCTCGTGGCCCTTCCAATTTATGTCCCAGGAGAAGACATTTTGAAATAAACTCATAGACCAAAATAAGATTATTTTGCTGATTTTCTTCTCTCTAGATCCTTGTGGCTTTGCGGCATCTTCACTTTAAAAATATCGTTCACTGTGACCTCAAACCAGAAAACGTGTTGCTGGCATCGGCAGATCCTTTCCCCCAGGCAAGTATGAAAGCCTCTCTCAGCAAAACCAGCTGATGGCAGCCGGCTCCCCTGCAGGATTTTTTCCTCAAAAGCTTTATTTGTTTCACGTTTTACCTGTTCGTTTTCATCCATTTGTCTCCTTCTTCGATCTTGGGGACTGCAGCTTTGTTACTCTGGCTTCTCAGTTCAGCCTGCCGGAGAGCAACACGTGCAGAACCTTTTCATTGTGCTTGTTCAGCTGCTAGGGTAGGCAGAGCCTGGGACACTGGCGGCCCCAGGCAGTACTGAAAGCACTGGCCAGGGAGGGAGGAGAACAATGAAGAGTCCCAGGGAAGGTGAAGGTCAATGTTGTTCTGAGGGGCAAGGGCAAACGTTTCTGCTTTTCCTCAACTCAGAGGATGGAAAACTACTGCACGTCTCCCCAGGGAATCTGCCATCCGAAGTGAACTAAGGCAGCTGTCCGCCTTGCTTCCCTGACCTCTTCAGGTCCTGTCTAGGTTCCCAAGCAGAGTTGATTTTGAGGATCATCGTAGGTAATATGACAGGTCTCTATGCTGATCCCTCAAACTTTACTTATAAGCCCTTGTGTTCGGTCTGTCACTTCCAGATTTGCATGAGGTTTTTCTGCCTTGTAAAAGAGTATTGCCCACTTCTGAGTATACATATTTTCACATTTATCTCTCAGTTTTGTGTTGGGGGGAAGGAAGGATGAATGTTTAGATGATTTTTTCAGGAATGAAAATATACTTTTGTACCAGTACTTCACCACTGTCTTCAAATATATAAAATGGAAAATAGCTATTACTTCTATCATGCACAAGAAATCTATACAATATATGTGAAGTATTCTAATTGTTGTTGACAGACCTGGGCTAAGACACACACAGACACACCATTTGTGACCTTACCATTTCTGCAAACCATTTATTACCAACAGGTGAAACTTTGTGACTTTGGTTTTGCCCGGATCATCGGAGAAAAGTCTTTCCGGAGGTCAGTGGTGGGCACCCCAGCTTACCTGGCTCCTGAGGTCTTAAGGAACAAGGGCTATAACCGCTCTCTAGACATGTGGTCTGTTGGAGTCATCATCTATGTAAGCCTAAGTGGTACGTTTCCGTTCAATGAAGATGAAGACATACATGACCAAATCCAGAATGCAGCTTTCATGTATCCACCAAATCCCTGGAAGGAAATCTCTCACGAAGGTACTATCTCCCACTCAAAAGTGATAATGGCTTAATGCTTAAATGTTATACTATTAATTCAATTGTGAATTATTAAATTGATAAATGTTCATTGCAAATTGTCCACTGGAGTAGGGGCACAAGTTGTTAAGGTGGATTAGGAAGGAGTAAAGGAAATGGAGGCTGAAAGCATCTTCTGATGAAATGTCCATATTTTATAGAGAAATTGAGTGATACATGTTAAGAGACAAATGAAACAAAAAGAAATTGTTATTATTTTGGCATATTGCCTTATTTTAAGAGTAATCTTTAACTATATACCTGTTTCTGTATTAAGCACTTTAATCTATTAGGGACACAAGAACTTTATGATAGTGATATTTTAATTATCATATTATATATTAGTATGCCAGTTCTTTGTGTGCTGATTTTGAAGGAAATCATTAGAATATATATGGTATTTTCTTTAGCGATTTCCCTGGTATTATATTTTTAGGTTGTTCCTATATGATCCTTATATATAATTTCTATGTGTATCTCTGGTTGATTTCTTTAGGATAGATTGCCTTGGCAGTGCTGCGTTATTTAAAGTTAAATTCTTAAAAAATCTTTCCTTCTTCTTAAAGAGAGAGAAAGAGTTTTAAAAGTGGGAGGGGCAATCAGGGCAGAGAAAAGGGCACACCCAATGCTTCGGAATAGAAGAACCCAATGAACGTACTTCGGAGTTTATTTAATTCTCACAACAACCCCATAAGATAAGTTTTACTATTACATCTGGATTTCAGGTAAGAGCACTTGAGGCAAAAGAACAGACACCACAGGCCGAAATCACAAAGCTAGTAAGTGGCAGAGCCAGAATTTATACCCAGGCAGTCTGTGCATACATTCTTTAACCACCACCGGTTAATGACTGGTCCTTCTTTAGTTTTCAGGCCGTGTCTAGTTCTAAGTTCAGATTTTTCGCCACTTAAAAAGGCAGATACAGTCATAGATAAACATCTGTTCAATACCTGTTACTGAATGCGATGATGTAGAAATTGGAAAAGAATGTAGATAAACTGCCTGAGGTAATTAAGTTCTTAGACTACTGTTGGTATTAAATGGCAAGAGCTATCCATTACCAGGGCTTTGAGTTACTATTAGCGACAACTTTTAACATCCTCTAATTAGTTGTAAATCATAGCTGGAGGGATATATCTTAAAGGAATCTGTGACCTACAAAAGAACTATCATGTAGCCAAAGCACTAATGAAATATTTAGGATAATTTAACAGAGACAAAAAGCAAAGTATCATTATGTTTCCATTCCGGAATGCAGAAAGGTGGAATTATCAAATAACCTTGTGACCAGTATCCTTGTTAGGAAACACTACCTTTAAATACGGTTAACTGTTATGCTTGATACCTACAGTCCAGAAATCCAATAAAATGACTTGATATTGTTACCACAGTGCAAATCTGGAATACCTCTGAAGCCAGTCACATTTTCTTGTTCTGTAGGAATAGGACATTGGGAAAATAGCCTCCACATTTTAAAATCTTTTTCTTGGAGTAGTGGAATAAATGATGCCCCCTCTCTGGTACCATGGAAATGTGCTGGCCTAACTGTGTTGATACAGCCTACTGAGGCCAGAATCGAACAGTTACAGGCTGTGAGTGTTTAATTATCACTGATAGTAGAGACCAGAAACCTAAATATTAATGCCTCAAGGAACTGTTATGGGGAAACCCCATATGTATGTGTGCACAAAATTTGCAAAGAAAGAGATGTAGCATTTCAGAAAGAGAATTACATGGAAAATTTAAAAAGGCATTTATATTTGACCAAGAAGTACATATTTTACTTGCTGTATGTATTTCTAAGTGCTAAAAATTTCCTACCACGCAGACAAAGTGAAGTGGAGGCCAGCTCAGATAGACCCTCACTTTTCTAAATGACTCAGGTATCAGTTTGGAATTAACTGGCCTCTCTCCTCAGTATCTTCTTCTGACTCCTCCTTGCCTTTGAAGCACAAGAGTGGTTCCTGGCTGCCAATTGAGGCTCTGGATGGCAAATGAGTTACCTAGCTGCTGGTGTATGAACAGAACTAATAGTCGAATATAAAAAAGTTAGTTAAAGATGACATAATATTAGCTGAAGTGTTACAGAAGTAGTTACTGGCCTGGAGTCTATCCCACTATCTTGTTGAGAACAAATAATTCCCTCATGAAAAGTAATAACAGGCTGGTACGATATAATTTTAATCACATAGGAGCTGATAAATACACAGGCAAGCTAGTATTGGTAAAGGATGGTCACAACTGATATTAGTGAATTTTTAGTCTCAGTATACTTTAAACCACACCAGACCACCATCTGGATACAAGGAAATAAAAATCTAAGCACCTCAGTGACTCTAAAATCAAAGGTAAGGAACAATAGTCAAGCAGTTGGATTTATCATCCTATCTGCCATTCTCATTAGCCATCACTTAACCTTCTTTGAGCTTTGGTTCCTGCCTATATAATGAGGTTGTAACAGAGACTGAATGAAATAAAGGATGTGAAAAGCATCTACAAAGGCAGGTGTGGGGTGAACCAAGGATTTTGATTTAGGAGGAGGCTAGAACACTAAGCTCCAAGCAATTGCTCTGGCGGGTAACCAAGAATTGATTGTATAATTTTAGAAATTATATGCAAACTGATGTGCATGTTTCCCAAGGATTCTTCAGACATATTTGTTAGTTGTATTTTTTTTTCTTGGCATGAAAATGCAAAAGAATAAAGAAAGTTGTAAGGTCCTTGTAGCATACATAGATGGGTCAGAATGAAAAAATTCTTGGGTCATGCATTTTTTTCTGTTAGTGTAGAAATGTACCTGATATAATATACTACTATATATTGGAGTGCTGGAGTTATCATTGTGCCATTTGAACCTCACAACAATCCTCCAATATGTAACTTGTTTTAGTCTCTGTAATAGACAGAAACCAGAAAGGTTAAGTGCCTTGCCTAAAGTCACACAGTGGCAGGACTTGGATTTGAAATTATTTGCCTCCATTCTCTGTATCGTACATTGTTGTACATGGAAGGGTGCTCCTTTCTTATGGATTGATGTTTAGAACCCTATAGAGAATATTTTAAATTCATTCATTATTTTTGCTATGATAATAGAATAAGCCGAGTACTAGCATTCTGGAGATGTGCTTACCAATAATTTAACAGTGAATTAATTAATCAGGACTCTTGTATGCAAATAATAGAAACCTATAACTAACCTAAGCAGAAGATAATTTATTGACTCACACAACTGGGAAGTCGAAAAGGTGAACCTCGTCTCTTTGGATCCGGCAGTTCAAGTGTCCTATTTCTCCATCTCTCATCATCTCCACTTTACTTTATGAAGGCTTCCTTCTCAGGTGGACTCTTCATGTGATGCCAAGTGATCCCCGGCAGCCCCAGGCTTTACATGCTATACTCATTGTACATGATCTCAGAGTGGAAGAATAATTATCTCTCAGTAGCCATAGAGTCTCTGAAAGGGGCACTGATTGGCTCTGCTTAAATCCTGTAATACCCTGGGAACAATCCCATTGTCACTGCAGGAGCGTGGCTTTGATTGGCCATATGGATGATGGAGAGCCTCTCCAGTTTGGAGAGAGTAAGCTCCTGCAGGGAAAGGATAGTAGGCTAAAAACAAACACAAAAGCATTAACAGATGTCCATTATAAAAATAGATTTTTTTTTGTGAATCAAGGTATGATTTGAAAAATGAGAAAAAATGTGAGGAAAACTTACCTCACTAAATGTTACAGGTAAGAGGGAGATAGTAAAATTAAACTTTCAAAGAAAAAAATAATAGTAGCTAACACTTCTATAACATTTGCATTATAGCCAAGCACCTTACATATATGAACTCATTTAATCATCCCCAACCTTTGAGTAGATACTATAATTGTTTCCATTGAGAGATGAAGTGGTGTAGACACAGAGGGTTAAGTGATTTGCCTGAGTGGGGCCAGGGTGCAAATCCTGTCAGCTGGCTCCAAGGTAGATGCTCTTATCTACTACAATTACAGCCTCTTGATTATCCTTCTAATGGATTTTGCCATGCTGTCACATTAAATTTTAATATGCTTTCACCAGCTTAGAGCTACAGTAGCAACACAATTTTCAATAATGTCTTAAAATACAGGGAAACAAGATCATGTTGTGATAATGACCTGAGTTGAGAGCTCTTCCACTTAGTGTAATGTTGACCCCATCCAAGTTACTTACTCTCTTAGGTCTCAGTTTTCTTGTCTGAAATATGGTGACAGTAATTCCTAATTCACTGGGTTATATTAAGTATTAAATGAAATTATACTGCAAAATGCATAGCACAGTGATTGACATAGAGTACCTTAAATATATGAACACTTTCTGTTTTCCAGTCACTTTACATGATCTATGTATCTGTCTTTCTATGTGTATTTAGTTATACCCACACATGTATGTAATTATATAGTTATATATGTAACTAAACATATATTTAATTATAGTTATATATAGTTATTTATATATATAACCAAATACACACATTATAAATACAGTTATATAAATATAACTAAATAAGAATGCATGTATACAATAAAACCCTCCAGAATGAATCATATGATTACAAATAATTGCACAAGAGAAGACTTGAGGTAATCATGAGATGGGAGTTTGAGAACATTACAGTTCATTCTAAGCCAGTGTTGTGTATTCGTTTAATTTCCTCGTTTCATTTCGTCATTGTGACTGCTGGATGGGCGTTTGACATCATCCAATTTATCCATTATTACCCATCAGTGATTACACATGGCCTCACTCCCACCTCTAGCTTTATGACATGCTGAGTTCAGTTTGGCCCTCAACACATCCATCCTACGACCTTTCTCAGTTCCTTGAAAGGACTCGTGTACCTGTTTTAAAATATATACTTGATTAGGCAAATTTACTTTATCTTATAGAAAGAGCAGCCCATTTCACTTAAACATTTTTTAGATAATCAGATGAAA